TTTTTTTTTTTTTTTGAGACCGGGTATTGCCTATGCAGTTGAGGCTGGCCTTGAGCTCACTTTGTAGCCCAAGTTGGTCTCAAACTCAAAGCAGTTCTTCCACTTCAGCCTTTGAGCTGGGATTGTTTTTTGTTTTGTTGTTACAGGGTCTTGCTCTGCAGCTTGGACTCGTAGTGATCATACTCTCTCAGCTTCCCCAGCACTGGGATTACAAGTATGCACCACCTTGCTTGGTTTCGGGGCCAGTGTGGCATACAGTACTGGAGACTGAACCCTGGTCCTTGCACTTGCCAGGCAGGCACTTAGACTGCTGAGCTATCTCCCCAGCCTTTTTTTTTTTGTTTTTTGTTTTTTGTTTTTTGTTTTTTGTTTAAAAGACAGGGTCTCACTATGCACCCCAGGCTGATCTTGAACTCACAGTATAGCTCACGCCGGCCTCCAGCTCACTGCAGTCCGGCCTCAGCCTCCCAAGTGCTGGCATTACAGGTGTGCATCATCAAGTCTGGCTGAAGTCTTGATAGAAATTGTCTCTGGAGTAAATGGAATCTCAGTGCTGTTCAATTTGCATCTGTAATAGCCAGAGAGCCTGAACTTTTTTTTTTTCTTCATTTTTTTATACTTATTGGCTGTTTGCAATTACTGTTTCTTTGAAAGTGTGCTCTCTGGAGCATATGCCCAACAGTATCTGGGCATGGAATTAGGAATGCTGATTATATACATAAGTAACACCAGGACTGCTCAGCTGTGCTGGAAAGCTCAGCTCAAAAATGAACGTGAAAAGACATTATTTGTAAGTGTTCAGACCATCCAGGACGGTTCTGAAACCCAACTGGTAAAAAATTAGCGCTAGTAAGAGTTCAATGATACATGTTCACCAAATAGAAAATTGGAATTGCAAATATAATTGCACTAAGAAGAAATTTCTAGTTAATTTCCATGTTTCTGAGGAGAGAGAGCTTTACAACTTCATCAAAGGAAACTAAAAACCTAGATGCTATCCTGCTTTGGGTGGCTCAGTGCCTCCGCCCTGGGCCTCTGGATGACCATACAACCTGTTGTACTGCTCTCGGCAGGCCTGGCACACTCCCTGGCCTTCCAGCTGTTGTCAGTATTTCCTGTGCTGCACCTAGGTCCCTGAGTAGTGTGGAGCTTTGCCATTCAGTTCTCTGCGTGTTCAGGATCCCCATCCGTTCTCTGTCCTGCTGAGCTCCTTCCTTAGAAATGTGTGCTCCTCGATGACTGTTAAATGGCCCACTACCTTCACGGGATCAGCACCAAACCGACTTCCGCTAGGGCCGTTGTGCCATTCTACGGTCTGCTTTCGGGTGAGGACAGTCCGCTAGGATCACGCCATGGAATGGTGGTCTCCAAAGCTGGGGTCCTTGTCCCTGGCAGTGGTTAGAGGAAAAGCCTCTAGCGGTGGGAGTCTGAAGACCTCCCCACAGGGCCAAGCCCAGTCTCTGCCAATATCCCCACATCCCCCTCTTGCACCTTGTCTGGTTGAAAAACGGTCCAGCATGCGTTCAGCGAACCTGTGCTGCTGCTAGTCAGGCCTGCAAGGCCCGGTGTCTGCTCTCACGTTTTCATTCCCAGTAGACATTCCAAGGCCAGATGGGGACCGCGGAGACGACCTGGGTTCAGGGCAGGGCTTCACCTTGTCTTCGCTACAGCACTCTTTTCTGACCTTTCAATGTCTCCTGGGGTCAGTGGACCATCATGGTCCACGGTCCCGCCTGACCTAAGGGTCGAGGGATGGGTTCGGGTTGGGAGGCGGCGAGCACTGGTAGAGCACCTGGGCGCAGGAGCTTCCTCCTTGGGAGCAGAGGCCCCGCCCTTGGCGGGGAGCGGAGGCCGCGCCCAGCCAAGGTCTCTGCGCATCAGGCCCAATCGGCTAGGCGAGCGGAGGCCGCGCCCAGCCAAGGTCTCTGCGCATCAGGCCCAATCGGCTAGG